CTCCTACTACTACTACTACTACTACTACGACTACTACTACTACTACTACTACTGCTACTACTACTATTACTACTACTATTACTACTACTACTACTACTACTACTACTACTGCTACTGCTACTACTACTACTACTACTACGACTACTACTACTACTACTACTACTACTACTACTACTACTACTACTACTACTACTACTGCTGCTGTTGCTGCTGCTGCTGCTGCTGCTACTACTACTACTACTACTACTAATAATAATACCACTACTACCACCATTACTACTACTACTACTATGGTTACTACGGCTACTCGTACTACTACAGTGCGACCGTACTAGAGTGCTCCTGCAGTACAATATGGTATGACCCGTACAACCGCCACTACAGTGTTACCGCTACTACTGTGCCAGGGCACTCCTACGACTGCAGTGGAATCCACTGAATACTCGAATGGTAGAGTTCCATTATCACTACTGCCAACATTCGACTATCGTACACTACGAGAGTGCCACGAGTGCAGTACTTCTGCTAGAGTACTGTACTACGACATTTGGAATACCACCACTGCAGCATTTCAGGACTAGAGCTGTACAACATTGCTGCGGTACTACGGGAATGCCCGAACACCACAACAGTACTGGAGCACTGCGACAGTGCTGGAGTATTATTTTTCGGGTAGTGTAGCACACGCAGTGCAAACAGTCGCAGAATAGTACTTTAACGAAGAGCACTGTTTCTACAGCGCCACTACTGCAAAGGTACAGCACGGCTCCACAATAACACAGCACTCTTCCTGCAACGCCACCGCTAAATCATTACAGTTGAAGGGCACTAGTACTGTACTGGAGTACTACAGTAGTGAATTACTGTTGCACTACAGCAGTGCGAGTACTACAGCAAGTACTAGATAATGATATTTACTGCGAGACCTGAGTACTACCATTACATCTACAGGGATACTGCAGCGCTGCCACTTCGTTAATGCAATTCTACTACCGGCGTTGTACGGTGGCAGAGTACCACTGGTCCAGCACTAGAGTACCACTACGGCAGAACTACTGCTAGAATACTGTCCTAGGAGTAGTTCAATGCCACCACTACAGTACTACAGTATTAAGCTACTGCAACCGTGCTGACAGACTGCGGCATTCGAGTATTCCTACGACAGTACTGCAGCACACTCATTGCAGGGAGTAGTAGAGTGCTGCTCTACGAAGGCGCTACTAGAGCACGGCACCTACAGTGCCAGCGTTGCAGTGGTACAGCACGGCTCCACAATATCAGAGCACTCTCCCTACATCGCTAAACCTGAATCCCTACAGTTCGAGGAGACCACAGTAGGGGACTACTTATTCGAATGTACTACAGTGCGACTGCTAAAGCAAGTGCTAGAGAGAATGATCTGTACTGCGAGACCTGAGTACTACTACTCCGATTACAACTACAGGGCTAGTACAATGCTGCCACTTCGTTAATGCAATACTGCTAATGGCTTAGCACCGTATCAGAGTACCACTTTTTCATTACTAGAATACCACTACGGCAGTACTACAGCTAGAGTACTGTACTACGACTATTCCAATACCACCACTACAGCATTTCAGTTCTAGAGTACTACAACAGTGCTGACCGACTACGGCATTTGAGTAGTGCTACTACAGTAGTGAGACCACTGCAGGCAATACTAGTCGTACGTGTAATCTACTAGAGTGCTGCTTCTACAGTACCACTACTGCAGTAGTACGGCACAGCCCCACAATACTGCAGCACTCTTCTTGCATACTACCACTGAAGTACTATGGTTCGAGGATGCTACTACTCTGCTCGAATACAACAGTCGTGGATTATTTTTATTACGCTACTACGTTGTGAGTACTAGAGCAAACGATCGCGTATGACCTTCACTGCAAGGCCGGAGTGGTGCTGTTACTATTACACGACTACTACTATTACTAGTACCGCTACTATTACTGCTATTACTACTACTACTACTACTATTACTATTACTACTAATACTACTACTACTACTACTACTACTACTACTACTACTACTACGACTACTACTACTACTACTACTACTACTACTACTACTACTACTACTACTACTACTACTACTACTACTACTACCTACCTAACTACCCTACCTACCTACCTACCTACCTACCTACCTACCTACCTACCTACCTACCTACCTACCTACCTACCTACCTACCTACCTACCTACCTACCTACCTACTACTACTACTACTACTACTACTACTACTACTACTACTACTTTTACTACTACTACTACTACTACGACTACGACTACGACTACTACTACTACCATTACTACTGCTACTACTACTACTACTACTACTACTACTACTAGGACCTACTACTACTACTACTACTACTACTACCACCACTACTACTACTTCTACTACTACTACTACTACTACTACTACTACTACTGCTACTACTGCTACTACTGCTACTACTGCTACTACTACTACTACTGCTACTACTGATACTACTGCTACTACTGCTGCTGCTGCTACTACTACTACTACTACTACTACTACTACTAGTACTAC